GTGAAATCAATAAAAAAAAAAACTTACAATACGACTCGTTTATATATCAGTTATATACAAATATAATAAACGAATCAAATATGAATGAAGTACTTTTTTGACAAACTAAAATTCAACACGAATCTATCACATTCGACACGATTGATAGGCTAATACAATATAACATATAATAAACGAATCGAATATAAATGAAGTACTTTTTTGACATAAACTCACTAAAATTCAACACGAATCTATTACATTCGACACGATTGATAGGCTAAAACACAATGGAGGTCATCAACAAAGCAAAAAATAAGATGAGCGAGTTCAACGTACATTCTGCAGAGCTCCGGGGTCCAGATTCAAGTATCATGGAACTTGGATATGCTAAATTATGCATGCAATTCATCCCAGAAGATAAACGTCCCATTAATTCATGCAACAAAGAGGGTGCTATGGCTTTGAAAGTCGTAACATCTATTCCTTGTTTGCATAAGAATAAGGTTCCGTGTCGAGAAAGAAGAACAAAAATGCAGATATCAAAAACGGCTCATTTCGAGAAAAAAATGGCAAACTACAGAAGGACTAGAGTTGCTTCCTAACACACTGGTAGTGGTGTCCTCTAAACTATATCAAACAGTGTAATCTATCAAATGTTAAAAAATAACAAGGTGGTAGTTTGACATAATTAACCTCGAGGAATGTATGATATAGCACAGTGAGTTGCAATGGAGCATCAGTGTCTCGGACCAAAAATGTTGGAATGTTGACAGTAAAAACTAAATCCAAATAGCCCTTTCATCATCATTACTTTTTACCAACTGTATGGAATAAACAAGCTCGTAAGTGCTGAAACAATTAGACACAAAAGGAAAGAAAAGAAAAAGAGGCTTCAGCACCAAAACAAGCAGACACAGTATGATCTTTTGAGTTATGTGGAAGTGTGCTTAATAACTAGTTCACCATTTGATGGATGGAAGGATGCTTCAATTTCTGATGAACAACATTCACCTCCATCAGATCTATGAGTTTTAACTGCCACCGGCTTGGCCAAAAGCTTCACTCCTTGTTTCCAGTATCTTTGATCTGAACACAATGCAGTTATATTTTAGTATGATGCATCGACCCAAAAAAAGTTGAACCCAAGCAAACTGTACCTGGTCCTGTTGATAACACAATGGAATTTTCTGCATCCATCACCCAATCAATCCAAAATGCAAATCCATGGCATACACCCTGGTTCGTAAATTCCACCTACAGTAAATATTCACTATAGGTTCATTATGTCTGACATCCCATGCAATGGTTATAAACATCAACACTCGTACAATACAGCAGTGCTGCTTCCACGCCCAAACCCCCCCCCCCAAGAAAGTGCATGTGATACCTGGGCTTTTCCAGAACAAGAGCTTATTGGTTTCAAGAAATCAAACTCCATGACAGTAATTATCTCACTGAGTTCCTAAAAATTCAATAAAATTGCATCAACTTAGTGATGAAATGCTACTGTCCTCTTCCTCAAATAAAGTAGATCTTCCTAAACTTTATTTACCTTGATTTCTCCACATTGCCATATAAAAAAAGGAAGACAAGGACTCTCTTGTGTAGCGGGTGAATCACCACACGCCCCTAAGGTGGCATTGACAACTGAATGGTCAAAACCTTCAATCTCTTTCAGGCAGCAATGACTTCTCCAGAGATCCTAAACATGAAGTTTGCCATCCCATTCCAACATTTACGTCTATGAAAAATAATAACATACTTGGTTCAAAACAAACCAATGGTAAAACCACAGACTCACAGGGAGAGACATTGCACAAGCCTTCAGTATTCCTTTACAAGGCATTATCACCACGTCTTTAGATAGGACAGACTCGAGCATAGTGCGTTCCTTCCTGAACAACAATTCAAGATAAAAGAACAAAATATAGGTATATTGCCTAAACTGAAGTACCTGATACCTTTAATGGAAAATATATTAGCAGAACATCTAAGAGCTTTTTTCATATACAAGTTCCCCACACATATATGCAGATAACCTTTACAAAATCCATTCAACTACACTCGGGTGAGTTAACCATTTCAATAATCATCAATTTCCCCAACCCCTTCGTATACGAAATAGCAAATAGAAATTCCAATGAATTGCCATTGAATTGGACCATGAGTGCAGAATGCACAGAGATCTTATCCTCTTTCACCTCCTGCCAATGACTTAAGTATTATTAACATGTCGTTTCATCCAATCAAATTACTCCAAGTTACCATTACCGCCCGTGTAACTATTAATCTAAATTTTTTAAGAAATAGTTGGTTCAACCCTTAATTAATAGCTTTTCATAACAAAATAGGAGAGGATGGTGATAGAGATGATTTAATGGATGGTTTTCCGCAATATTAAAATTGGATAAGGTGGGATGGAGATTCTATGCATCACACAGAGCCAACGCTAGTTTTATATATAACAAACAGTCATGGTAATAAATAGATGTAAAATGATGCGTGAAGCAACGATCCACACAACATCTGGAAAAGTAATTAAGAAATTAGAAACATTAGGATCAGGTAAAAAAACTTGTTAGTAGGATCATGTAAAAAAGCTATCTGAAAAAAACTCCAAAATCCTCATTTATTGATACAAAACTACCTTATGGAATGGTGTTAACTTAATTGTCTGATGTTAATATATCCACAAATTTACCATGATGGGTGCTATTCTTACAAACTTGTCTTTTGATCCCGTTCAAGAAGCATACTATATTTCCATATCTGGGAATAAAAATTAAAGGCTTCAATCAAGACAGAGAGTATTACCAAAAACGCAGGTTTTGCCATGGAACCGCATCTTCACTTCCACAATAGAACGGTTCTCCAATCAAGAGATCAACCTGCAAATTATACACAAAATCCACTAGTTTTGTGTTTATTCTACAGCAGCTTGAAAAATATGAATTCATGAATATTTGATTTGCCAAGAAGGACAATCTTATGTACAACTAAATGCTTAGTGGCAAGCCGCAGTAAGTAGAATTCAGGCTGATAAACAAGCTGCTTGGGTGGAACTAACCTTTTTCTGATAAGTGTCGTGCATAGTCAATTGAGATACTCTCTTCTTTAGAACTTCTACTCGATCCATTGAGAAACCATTTGCAGCCGCAACAGCTTGTAAATATTGAGCACCCTTCTCTTTCAGCCCCGGAAACAAAGATATTATGTGTGATGTTTTGGAAAGATAGGCAATGGCAATCGGTAAGAAGACACTATCATCTGCAACAACACACAAAGAAGGACTCCGCTGCAACTGAAAAGGAAAACTAGTGATAATAATAAACTAAGAATCCTGACACCAGAATAAGCATAAAATCAGAAACAATAAAAGCATCTATCTTAAAAGAACTCAAGTACATACGTAAGACATCATTAGCTGAGATGGTTTTTATTTTCAACACATAAATATCCACCTCATTAGGCCCCTAAAGACTTGATGAAAATAAACAAGAAATGAAGCTTATATAGGAAAGTAGCCACAAAAATCATATTATTGTGGTTAGGATATTTAAAAATTTCGTCAATTTCAGTTTACTGAACCAGAAGATCATAACCATTGTGGGCTCTTAATATCTCAGGTATAATACAGGATATGATGATGATAATAAGAAACCAAAGAGAGAAATATTATATTAGAACTGATGTGCAGGGTGCTTTTCAGGCAAAAGGCTTGACATATATCAGTCATAATTCCAGCGTCACCAACAAAGAAACACCCAGCTCATCCCTGATAAAGGACAACCACTAAGTTAGACATCTCTGCTGGACTTTTGGCACATCTTACTCATTAAGCTTCATTTGTCCAGTAGATCTACACATATTCCTTCCATGGATAGACACTGGTCAAACAAAAAAGTGCTTTGAAGTGATCTGACTTCTCAAACCTTAAGGAGTCTCCTTCCAACATATAACCCTGCAGTTCACCGCAAATTGAACTGTGTACATGTAAAATTGAACTTGCAACAACAGGCTTCTGGCCACTTCATTCCTAGACTTCCTTGTGTCCACGAGGTACACTTTAAATGTAGTGGTTTCCAGGAGGACCATTAACTGATTACTTTCTATTAGTGAAGCCGCCAAACATTCCCCAATTTGTTTTCATATTCCAATATCGTCTCGAAGGAAGCAGGTTCAGCAATTAGTCATTCAGCAAGAAATAAGAAATCTATGAGGCAGGCTGAAGTACAAATTGTAGCTGACTACAACAACATATTCCTATTAGCTAGTTAGTGGAATGGATGTTATGAAAGCATCTCATTCAATACTCATTGGCTGTAGGTGGAGAAGCCCACCAGGCTCATATGCTACTTTGGGAGGTCTTATTTTGTTGATGTGGAAAAGCTCTAACACTTTCTCGCACGTGTGACCCCCACTCGCAATCATAAGAATTAGAGGACAAATTCAAATAGATAACCACTGCACCTATGACAGAATCAATTACCAAATCAATGAAATTTAGTCTTGCCCAAACCCTTCCCAAACATGGCTTATATACCTTGTCAATGCATCCACCACAAAACCAATTGGCAATGAGTGGAAAGGCACATAAATCTCATATAATATTTTCATAGGGGTAATTTTATCAATGTGGGAGAAGTATTAACAAGTCTCACATGCACTGAGATCGTACCGCATCATTTACAGCTTTTAAAATCAAACATCTCCAATTGTTGTCACCATATACTGCAACTCTTTCAGGTGATAGAATGAGTTGAAAACTGGGAGTACAACTGTCATGCTGTCCAGCCTCTGTTCTTGCAGGTTGAGACTTGACATCATATGAGATGCTAATGTCAGAATGAACAGCATTTAAATGAACGACTTCATCCTTGTGTATGGACAAGCCTTTGCCAGGGATGAACCAGACACATTGTTTCCAATGGTCACACCAATCCCCATCACCTGCAGAAGCATTATATATAATTCAAACAATGGAAAAAAATTCAAAAAACATATAATTGGCTTCTTTTGAAAATGAGCATGAAATCAGAAAATTTGTGGAAAGTAATTGCAGATGATCCTTGTTTACTTAGTCCAACACCCTTCCAGAATTGTTCAAAAAATTGATTATTTAAGCCAAAGTATGTGAGTATTATCATTAATCCAAGTAACTTCAGTAATGTCTATTAAGCTTTTAATGTCTAGCCAAATTAAATGAAATGAGTTTTGTCATTTGCGTGCTCCCGAAAAAGAAGTCACTGATATGGGCACGAGAACAAAGACTGATTCATTAAAGTCACATGCCAATGCACCATATTGACCTTTGATTATCTTTTCTCAAAGTCCCACTAGAAAGGCAGCATCTGTAAATTAGTGAAAAAATATTCCTCTGATTGTGTGAATTATTTGTTTCTTTCATCACTTCTAGATAAACCTTGCATAAATGATAACTAGAATTTAGCATAAGTTGCCTTTACTCACTAGAAAAGGATGACTGCGACTCTTTTATCTCGAATGGGCAACTTATCCATTTTGGGCTAGTGGAATATAAGATTGTCCCTTCACTATCTAGTTGAAGTATCCACCTGAAAAAAAGCCAAAATACTAGCATAATATCCCTAGGAAAAATCTCACAACGAAAATAAATGTTACTATACCAAATTATACCATGAGACAACAGCATGAACTGTACCATCATTAGTTGCCTTTATGTGTAGCTCAGTTTCTCCATGACTCTCTGGCCTTTTCCAAAAGTCAAATTCAAAAATTTTGAAGGGTTCTGACAGCTGGATGAATACTCAACTGAGTAGAAAATGGAAAACCTGACTTTCTATAGAACTTATTCTAAGAAGTAAATAATGCCTACCAGTTTTATTTCTTCATTCATTGAATCACAGTGCAGGGGAAGTTGTTGTGATTTCACACATAAGATTGTCTCCAGTCCCTTTGGCGCAAGATGAATACCATCAGATGCTTTTGCTTCATTATTATATAAATCATGCAGCTTCCACAAGTATATGCTTTCAACCAGCTGAAAGAAAATTACAAAAGGAAAAGAATGTCTTTTTAATGAGAGTTAAAAGAATTTCTTTGTGAATTTTGATTGAGGAGAACCAGGTAACACTGCACAGATCATGTAAGCCATAATATAGACAACGTATAATATAGGAATCAATCATATGTTGGGATAAAAACAACGTTGAGCTAGGTTGAGTGGAGTATTCATAAAAAAAAAAAATTACATTCTGCCATGGTTGGTTTGGCTCAGAGTACCCTTGACACACAGTGAGCAAGTTGGTAATAATCTATGACATGGAAAGGACCAGCTAACCATTCATAGGGTTTGACCTCTAATGGCTCAATTAGGGTAAGCAGAAAATACAAATCCTAGAGTCCACTAGTAAATCACGTGTTTCATCACGTCATATATATATGATTGAAGTTCTGGGTCTAGGCGTAGACGGGAACCAATGCTGCATTTCCAACTAGTTAATTATATACCACCTAAGAACTTTCCTAATCCTATCAACCGCACTCTAGAGTCAATGGCATGTAAAACTTCATTCGCTTCATGTCATGCTGAAAATAAGAGGCCAATATACTAGCATCAATGTATTACAAAAAAAATGCGATTACAAAGGTGTTATCCATGCTATTTGCAAAAATAGCAATAATACAGTATGTTTGGTCAATCACCTGGCCATAAGTAGTTGCTCGGTAAGGCACTGTTTGGGGATTTTCCACCAATAGCTTGTCATGAGCATGCTGCAAAGTTGGAATTACCCCTTCGCCCAACAAATCTGAGTCTAATATTTCACTAACCTGCATTTAGCATTTGAGAATCTACAATCATAAGCATAAAGAAAACCCTCAATAGTATTTTCTGCAAATTCTCACGTAAAGACTCTGGTTTGATCTATATTTCCAAATTATGCACTACATTTAGCTTTACAACCATTAAGTGTCTCTGACATAAATGATATTGTTGCACCATAATGCTTATAGTTCAGCATAGGCCACAAAGTACTAAGACGAAAAAATTGTAGGTGAAGTTTGACACAAGTGCAAGATGATGATAGTATGATACTCACAAGGACATCTGCACGAGAAGTGATATCCACACCAATCTCTAATTCATCTGATCTCTTGTTAATAACCCGTACTTTTCTTTCCATACAGTTGGCACGCACAACTTTCCGCATCAACTTCACCATGGGAAGGTATGACTCACATGCTGTCACCATCCCCTTTGAACTGGAACTTGAATCTGCAGTGCCCATTGCCCGAGCAGCCATCATAGATAACAAGCCAGTTCCAGCACTACAAAGTAATTATTGTACTGTAATCTATGTAAAAAAAAAAAAAACAAATTGCATATTTTCATCAACATAACATCTACTCAGCATTAGTGAATATAACTACTCATAATATCATCAATATTATACCTTTAAAATATTTTTTTCCCCTTTTTTGAAGGGAAATATTATGTTTCATTCAGCTAATAAAGGTCGGTTTACAATAAGGTAGTTGAATCGCCCCAAACCCTTGTAAGTGGATTTGAGACCCAATCCTAAGGGAGTTAGTTGGTGAGCCTTTAAAACTTTTGTTCATATACAAAACGGAAATACCGCCAGGGTGTCCCATTGTTAATCTGTCTAATTTTTAATAGTTGTGAGATTGTTTCTATCTCCATCTCTATCCCTCTACTGAGAATGTTTGGTTGCAAGCATTGGAATTATGGAAAGCAGCTAGTTTTTGAACAATTAAGATTCTTTTTTCAGTTGTGGAATGTGATCCTGGCAATTTGAAGGGTACCCAAATATAGTAGCTGCATACAAATTACTCAATTTTCAATCACATTACCAAGCACGTATATTCATTCGGACTGATAAGAAATCAGTAACTATTTGTGTGCATTATGGAGTGAACTAAATCAGTATCTAAAGGAAAACTTAATGAATACCCAATATCAAGAACATGGCAAGGTTTGGTTATAGTCTTGTCGATGGCTTCACGGTAGGCTCTGTTCCTGCGAGTGTCATTAAGCATGTCGAGGTACGACGTGGCTGCAAGGAGGGGTTTTTGGCAATCTTCTGGAGCTTCGTCTTCTTCGACAACGACCCATTCGGAGTTACCGGTGAGTGGGTCCAGTTTGAGCTGGAACATGCGCTGAGTCGATCCTGAGCCCATGGTTCGGACAGTGGTGGCCTTGAAGTTAGCGATTGTCTGAGGGCTAACACTGATTTTGGGGCTAAAGGAGAAGAAGGGTAAGAGGGTTTTGTTGAGTAGAAAACGCATGAATTTGGGGATTGGGGTTTAAGGATTGGATTGGCATAGGTTTAGGGACTTGGTGAGCGAGGATGAGTATACCAGTGGCGATTGGCGAAGCGGCGAGTTTGGGTGTGGTCTGTTTTGTAAATTCGAATAATAGTGGGGTCAAACTGAAATTTAGGCAGCCCAGTAGAGGTGGCAAGCAATTGTCGTTTTTAAATTAATTCAAGCTACGGTAGTTGATTTGGAGTTCAAGAAAGTAATTGATATAAATATGAACCTTTTGTAGCAAATATATATATATATATATATATATATATATATATATATATCTCTTTTTTCTGTTACGTTTGAAAGAAATATATGAATAACCATGATTCTATAGTCATTAAAATTAGTAGTTAGTAATTATAATAAAATAATAAATCTTATAAAAGAAGAAAAATAAAATTAGGATCCCTTAGATAGGTGGTGACCTAGTGGTTGGCGTAAAGATGTATTGTGTCACAAATTTAATTTCCTTTTGTTATTTAGATTGATTTGTTGATCAAATAAATTATAATCATCGAATTAACAACGAAAATATAATATCAAGTTTACTGTGGATGATGATATGAGTTTTGTTGATAAAATTATGGGTGAATCACACTGTACCAAAAACATTTTAAAAATTGTAATTTGCAACCCTAATAATTATTTGGTGTACATTCCACCATTTGTGTTATAAAATAGTTTTAATAGGACCCTCGCACTACTTTCCTTTTAAGGCTGTTCACTCGAGCCGATAGATAAGAATTTTTGGATTCCATATTGATATTCTGAGTTGACGGGTTACAAAAAACTATTTCTTTTGTTGATCCTACCCAATTGAGGGTAACATTCCGAGTCGAGTGTCAAATTCTGTCCAAAATATCACCCAGTAAGATCGAATAGGAATGCAAAATATCTTATAAATTTTCAAACTTTCAATTATTCATTTTTTGGTCATTTTAATAATTTAATTACCAAATTTTTAGACTATTTTTACAATTAGACTATTAATATATTATATAAAGAAATGTAAATTAACACAATAAACTAGTAAAACTAAAGAAAATACAATAAATATAATTAATATATTATTTAATAGTCTAAAACACTATAAATAAACACACAATCATAAGTCATATACTTCTTAAATGACATTATTTTATGACATATAGAACAATGTTGTTTTATAAAACATATATTATTTTTTTGAAAAAATTAAATAAACTTGCAAGGCGGGCAAGAATGCAAAAACTTTATGAGTATTCCACATTTCTATCCAATATTTAAGATATATTAAAGAAACCTTCCATTACCTGACTGAAATTATACGGAAGTCGAAATATCGAGTAAAATAGAATAGGATTGAAATATTGCGAAATGGGTCCGTGGGTAAAATTTTGAACACCTCTATTTCCTTTGCTATATTCGTCAAATCTCATTGCATTTAGTGTGACAGCCAAGTAGTAGATTTGATAGAAATTATAACAAAAGTTAGTTTGAAGGTCATATTACAATCATTTTATGAGATTGAGAGCATAATATAAAAAATTAATCATTAAGGGTCCAAACTGAAAATCATGAAATCTTTTAAGTTGCAAAAGTGTGATTCATCCTAAAATAATATCAACATTCCACAAGGGGCAAAGTCGTAATTCAAAGTTAACGCTTCCTTTTTCCTTCAAGCCTGCAACCACCATCGTTGACGTCGAATGATCTGTATCCCTGCCAAAGGGGCGGGGCTAATGGCGGGAGCAGCATCGTCGTGCATCTTCTGCCAAATAGCACTCTCTTCCACCTCCACCACTCTCATCCACTCCGTCTGCTCTCTCTCCCTCTCTCTCTCTCCCTCTCTCTCTCTCATGCATGTATAACCTCGAACCTTCGATCGTCTTCACGTTTTTTACTTTTGATTTTACAGGATGAGAGAGTAGTTGCCTTTCAGGACATCAATCCTTCTGCATTCAGGTATCAATTTGTGGCCATTCTTTACATTACCTGAATTCCAACGTTACGTTTCTTGAAGAACTTCTCAATTCATTTTTCTTTCACCATAGATTTACGATATTCTATACATGTATCGAATTCACTTCGATTTTGTTGCTAATTGATTGGATTAGCTGCATATCTATGCTAAAGACAGTCTGAATATGAGGGATATTTTGAAACTGTGCTTAAACCTTTCGTATTGTGCTCGATTATGTGCACTGTGCGACAAAATTGAGCATAATTAGGCCCTCTTTAGAATAGTGGAGACATGAAGGGACGAGCTCTAAACCCACGTTCTGAATTTAAAACTTAGATCATCTTTTAGGCTCTGGATCTATCCCACATAAATCTTCAAATCTCAGCGTAGATAACGTGCTTTTGACCGGACCAGGGTGGGGATTAATTGGGATGGGTATAATCTGGTTCAAAGTCTAGACACTCCTGACGATGATACCAAAAAAACAGAAAGAGAGAATATGGGTTCTGCTTTTAATTGATCAAACTATTGGTGATTTTTACTTTGGATATGTCGAGGTTGTGTTAGAATCAGACAAATATTCTAAGGAAATACTGAAGGTTGTACTGCTAACTGGTACTAGCAGTTTTACTACCATGTTTGCTTGCTCAACTATTATCATTTATGGTTATTCTAATTGTCATCTGGGTCTTAATAGGCATTACTTAGTAATTCCGATAGAGCACATTCCAACTGTCAGAGACCTCCACAGACGACCGGAAGATTTTTCATTGGGTAATTCATATCCTAATGATGGCAATTGATACAAATACTGAATTGGTTTGCGCGTTATAAATTTACTTTGTGCTTCCTTAATTTATAAGTTAATTATATTTTTTTACTTCATATCCAGTTAGTCACATGTTCGACGTAGGGCAGAATCTATTACGCAGAGATGCACCTGCATCTCATTCCAAGCAATACAGGTATTATTTCTTATGCTCAAAATTCAATCCCTCCAGTTCCACCTCATAGGTGCGCGAAACTTCATGATCTAAGGAAGGTTTATCTCTTAGATTATGATCTTTTTAAAATTTAGATTTGATTTACATGATTTGTTTAGTTTTGTATTAGGGTAAGGAGCATCCATTCAACTAAATGAATGATATACACACAATCAACTTCCATAACTAATTGTTGACATAGCGAAGAACTTGGAATATGTGTTTCATAGGCTTATGGCAAATAAACACTAATTATTTCATATTAATCAAGTACATTTTCTGGATTATTGTTATATGATTGTGGCATTTGAATAGATTGAAAGATTTGATGATAACTTTGTTATTCAGAATTCTTTGCACATGAAGTTTACTGAAAGCGAGGTTGTGCATATGATCTTCTTCTGCCTTTTCTTTGTAGATTTGGTTTTCATCAGCCTCCATTTAACAGTATTAACCATCTCCACCTCCATTGTTTGGCACTTCCCTTCACACCCAGGCCAGTACTGGTGTATAAATTTTCTAAATTTTTGTTGAAGTTATAATTTTTCCGTGAATGCAATACAAATACCCGCTTTAATTTGAAAAAGGTAAACAGATGGAAACATATGAAATACTGGTCTTTGGGGCCATTTGTTGGATTCATCGAGGCTGAGAAGTTGTTGGAGAGGATAAAGCCACTATCTTCCATTCCCTCGTGAGAGGTAGGTAGGTCTTCGGTGTATTGTAATTCAATCACATTTGCCAAATGCAAGTTATATGTTACTCACTTCAATAACGTATGCAAATTTAGAGATTATAGAAGTGTATCATGTATTTGTCTTTGTTTTGCCATTGACATGATCAGATTTGTTGATATTCTTGCTTTAGGAAATCATGTTCCATTAACTTAAACAAAAATGTCAAGTGAACCGAGCATCCCGATCACTCACCACATCCGCCGGTATTCCCCAGTACTTTACAACATTCTTGGAGTATAGATCCGAGGCCACCTACTAGAAAAATGGCTGGTTTCTGACGAAGTCTCTTCAAAGGGGAAAAATAATTCGTTCAGTTATTGTTTATGTTGGCATTGGGGCAAGAGACCTACATTTTAGCCAAACTTCGATCCAAACAGTGTACGGTTGAGATAGGATAAAGTGATGGACTAATTATTACAATATGTGCAGATTTGATTGGAATCAATTTTTGAGTTATATTTCATGGTATACTCTAATCAATCATGGCTAAAGAGTAAAGAGTAACATTAGTGCGACATAACAAATTGAAATAATAGCCTACTACAATACTGTATGAAGAGATATAGTCTAATAGTATTGATATAATTACAAGGGTTAATAGCATTTTTTGTATGTATTTTTTGTCGGTTTAGTTATCATTATATCAATTTAACTATTGAATTGTTTTTTTTGTTTTTTTGGTTGGGAATATATTATTTATTATTACCTCACACATTATTATGTTTGGCTATCATACATTAGAGGCAGGTGGGTTTAAACACCCACTCTTTCTCAGGGATAACGTATTAATCACCTAAGTTAATTCCCTCTTAATTTATTTTATGTATGTGTTACTTCTATTTTTTTCATAAATATAATAATTCATGATTTTATCATTTTTATTTTTATCACAAATTCCTTTTTAACACATTGGTGAGTATATATACGGATGAAAATTCGAATCTCAACTGCACCAACACCCTAAAAATCATCTAAACAAACCAATTTAAAACATAAGTAGAACTTGCACTTGTGTGGGCTGGACTTGTGCGAACTAGGACAGATGTTAGACTTATATAAATTATAAATCCAAACATCAAGGAAATGAAATAGGCCTAGACGTTGAATCATAAACCCGAACGTCAGGAATTCGACGCTAGCGGATGTGTTACTAGTTCAACTGATACCCTCGTTAAAAAGGAAAAAAGAAAAAAAACTTATGAATAGAACAAGACATTCCTATCGATAAATATCTAGAAGAGTAATGTTATTGACACTTAATTTATTAATTTAATTTGTTGACTTAATTTACTATTATTTTTCGATTGATCGTGGAATTTATCAAACATTGAAACTTGATATTGATCTAATAATTCTGTTAAAATCACATCATTATATCAGTAAATTAGATCAAATTTTTATGTTCAAATAGTATTACTCAATCTAGAAACTTCTCTCTTCGGCTGTCCTCTGGAACTGTCTATACCTCTCTCTCTTTCGTTCTTTCCAGTACCACCTTTCCCCTCCGCCACGTTCAACCATATAAACTCCACAGCACTGCCTTACTTTCTTCAACGTACCCATTTAAACCCACACAAAACTCCCCAGAAACTCACAGCGATAACGTAAACCTTCTGTGGAATTCCAGAGAAATGGCTTCGTCACTTCTCCTCAGGAGAGCTAACGCTTCGCCTTTGTTCAACAAACTCACCAACTCCATCTGCTCTGCCTCCGTTTGTCGCTCTTTCAACACCAATACTCAGGTGACCGAAGTCGACGACGCTGCCCGTGGTATCGACGTTGATCGCCGCGACCGCTCGGTCTCTTCCCAACGCGACGTTGTTGTCCCCAGCATATTCTCAGGTAGTCCTTGTCCCAGTGTTCAATTCCTCGCTTTTTGATATTTGTATCACTTTCTATCAAATTGTTTCCATCCAGTTCTCTGATTCGAGGCTTTTTCTTTGATTTCCCTGTGGTTAACTAGTGATAACCGAGATTCAAACCAGTTGCCTTATCGCAGTGTCTCTTTGATCTCGGGACAAAAAATTTTCTGACTTGAATTTTGCCCTCTCTCCCTCTCTCTCTCAGATTTTGAGTTTTATAGGTGTGTTATAGATGTCTTTGAGCTTCAATAATCTGTTTCATTCCTTCTATCGGTTGATATCTACCTAATTGTCGGATTCGAGGCTTTTCCATTGATTTTTCTGGGTTTAACAGCTAGTGATCGACAGAGAATTTCTTTGAACTTCAAGTGACATTTCTGACTTGAATTGGGCTCTTATTGTTTGATTTTTTTTTTTTTTTGGTGTGTAGACGTATTTGATCCCTTTTTTCCAACAAGGAGCTTGAGCCAGATTCTGAGGGTAATGGACCAAATGATGGACCCCTTCCTCCCAGCATCTCATGGATTGGGGGCTGCAGGAACAAGGAGGGGATGGAATGTGAAGGAAGACAAGGATGCTCTGTACATTCGAATAGACATGCCCGGTGTTGACAAGGAAAAGATGAAGATCACAGTGGATCAGAACACCCTGATCATTAGAGGAGAAGGAGGGAAGGAATCGGAGGAGGAGGAGGCGAGGATATACACCGGCAGGCTTGATCTCCCTCCGGGTATGTACAAGCTTGATGAGATCAAGGCAGAGATGAAGAATGGTGTTCTGAAAATTACAGTTCCAAAGGCGAAGGAAGAAGAGAGGAAGGTACAGGATGTCGAGGTGGAATAAGTCTGTTGTACATGAGCTGTGTGTTTGAGGGTTTTAGGTGTTTTTTGGTAAGGGTTTTGTTTACCTTTTTTTTATTTATTTTTTATTTTTTTATTTGGGTCTCTTTGATGTAAGGAAAATGGAATGGAAAAATTAATGTGAGATTTCGATGGTAAATTTTTGTCACTTGTCCATTCTTCCTTTGGAGCCCAACTGGGACTTAATTTGGAAGTAATGATAGTGATTATTAGATTGATAGTGAATTTTAAATTAGGTATAAATATAATTATTATAAAAAAGTTTTTTTAATAGGAATATCAAGTCATACTTAAAAGAAAGTTCAAATATTAGTTTTTATTAATTTGGACAATTAAATTAAATTATTTTAATTTAAGGATGCGTTTGGTAACGTTTTTATTTTTTTTAAAAAATAAAATAAAATGAGTTTTTGTTTTTTTGTGATAAAAAATAAAAAAAATATAAAACATATTTAGTAGTTATTAAAAATGCACCACGTGTGTTGCACGTGAATAATTTTTTTTTAAAAATTAACAAATAAATATTTAATATATGTGTATTTAAATTAAAGATTTTTTAATATTTACCAATCTTATATTTTCATCTCTCATACTTCATTATAAAATTTTTGAAAATTTTGTATATTTTCAAGTGTTGTTGTTCTAACTTTAAGAAAAATAATAAAAAAGAAAACAAATACTTAAAATTCTATATTGTTTCTATAATTTTGTAATTGAAAGTGTTTTTTTAGTGATATTTGAAATTTAAATTTTTTTAAAATTAATTTGATTAAGATTTTACTTATAAATTATTGAATAAATAAAAATAATTATTAATATTCTAATCGTATTGAAACTTATTATATTTAGGATTAGTTAAGTCAATTATGAAAAAATTTAATATACAATGCTATAATATATATTATAAAACATATTAATTTTTTTTAAAAAAATTAAGCTTTTACATAAATTGTTAATACAATTTAAAAATTTTTCTATTACTGAAAAATCATGTAAAATTATATATACATTATTTTTTATCTTTAAAATGAAACGGTAAAATATTTTGATGAAAAATAAAATATACATATGTAGTCATAAAATTATCTTTATAAATGAGATGAGTAATATTATATTGATGAAATTTTTAAATATTTTTTTGAATATATTGTGAAAACGTAAAATAATGCATATATTTTTTAGGAATATTATAATCAATTAAATTTTTTTATAAAAATTGACATTTATAAATAGAGAATAAATAATTAGAAAATTAATTTGATTAAGATTTCACTTATAAATCATTGAATAAAATAAAATAATTATTAATATACCAATCATATTAGAATCTTACCGTATTTAGGATTATCTAGGTTATTTGGAATAAAATTTAATATATAATGCTATAATATATATTACAAAACATATTAATTTTTTTTTTTAAAATTGAGTTTTCACATAAAATTTTATCCGAGTCTGAAAAGTTTACTGCGACTAAAAAATTATATAAAACTATATATATATATATATATATATAAGTTTTTATCTTAAAAATGAAAATGTTAAACATTTTGATGAAAAATAAAATATAAATATCAAATCATAATATTATTTTTATAAATAAGGTGAGGAATATTATATTGATGAAATTTTTGAATATTTGTTAAAGCTTATAATGGTGCATATATTTTTTAATAGTAATACAATCAATCAAAAATTTTTATAAAAATTGACATTTATACATAAGGAATATATAATTAAAAGTGATGTTAGATGTAATTTCGAAATTTAAATGTATAAACATATGATGGTAATTTAGATATTAAATGTGGAATGATAGAGTGATTTTTTTAATTTTTTATGAGTGTAAAATAGTGAATCAAAAATTTTTTTATGTTAAGATAATTTTTTTATTAGTAGTATAGATATAGATATCAATAAATCTTTTTGATATTTTATTGAAAGTCTATCTCCCAAAAAACCAAACCCACCACACTAGCCACCCAACAACTATCACTAAAATCCCACCGATACATCACCTGCCACCAAAATTCGCTATCACCCAGCCACCTAACACCAAACCAAGCAAAACCCATGCACCACTAGTCACCTAACAACCACCAGCAACTGCCCCAATCACTACCAAAACCCCACCAATATATCACCCACCACCACGTGCCACCCAGCCACCACCAAAACCTCACCGACACATCACCGGCCACCAAAACCCACTACCACCCAGCCACTCAACACCAAACGAAGCAAAACCCACCACCACCACCAGTCACCCAACTACCACCAGCAATCACCCAACTATCACTAAAAAACCATCGATACATCACCCACCACCAAAATCCACGACCACCTAGCCACCCAACACCTAACCATGCAAAACCCATCACCACCTAACCACCACCACCAGTCGCCCCAAAAATTTTAAAAATGAATTCAAAAAATTACCTTTTAGAGAGGGTTAGGACTACAGAGGTACATCGATCTAAGCAAGTCTAACCTTGAGAGGACGAGCACCTTCGACCTTCGGCAGCTCTGGAGTCTTTGCATAGAGACACAGACGAGAGAGAGAGAAAAAGTTGGGTGATCAGTAGGTAGGAAAATAGAGAAATGATCCATTATACTTTCGACGAAAAGCTCTAAATTTTGGTGTTAACAAAATTTGAAGGTAAAATCTTATTAAAGGGTGGGTTAAAAGAGGCGCGTGCTTTTTTTTTTTTTTTTTTTCAAAAATATTCTTTTAGATGCTTCTATATTTTGGTTTTGTTTTCAAAACGAAGCGACGAAAAAAAAAAAAAATATTCTCCAAAAGTTTTTTTGTATTTTTTTGGACCATAAAATGAAAAAAAAAAAAAAAAAAATAATAAAAAAATATCATGTTACCAAACGACACCTAAATTTATTGGGAGATTGTTTAATGGAGTTGTGTGGAAAAGATTTTGGTTAATTGTAATTGTACTTTGATCCTTGAAAGATTTTTAAATTTTCAATTTATATCATGGAGGTTTAATTTTTTCAAATTGCATACCTTCAGTTAAATTTTTTTAATTAAAAAAAAAATAAAACAAATTTGTTCCAATCAGGTGCAATAGATAACCAGTCAAAACAAACTTGTTTTGAGCGTCGGATCAAGAGTATTGTGACCAATAAGTCCTTCCTTATGTCACCAATAAGTCCTTATGTCATGTGATTTGCACGTGGGGTGAAACAGATGACAAATGGAATGGGAGTTATTTAGTGGGTTTGATTGAAACAAACTTGTTAAATTCGGGGTGTAATTTGGGAAAATTGAACTTTTAGAATGCAAATTAAAAATTTCAGAATTTTTTGGGTTGCAAAGTACAATTTACCCTTAATATTTTGCGGGCCTCATCCCGATGGGCAAGCTTGATCCAACTCTTAAATTCAAGTTATAAAGGAATTGTGTTGTAGTTTGGCTCTTATTCATCAAAAAAAAAAATTCAAGTTTTAAGTAGGCTTATTAGCGTGGACCAATGAGCCACAGGGTTTTTAATTTCATTTAGAAGTTTAATTGTTTTTCACCAAAGATGCTATTCAAGAAGTCTAAATAGTATTATTTTTAGTCATAGATCTCCCAAAATATTTTGGTAGTGATGCAGTTTATTCTTATTCACTAAGGTTATGTTGTGGTTAGTTTATTTCAACCAATATTTAAATCTCAATTTCAAATTTTGTACTCCAAATTCTAAATTATAACTCTATAGAGGTAAACAATTACTTT